AAAGCAATGTTTGTACATTTAGGGATTTTCTGGATCCTGGAACTATGGATCAGGTCTTTGATAGATTAGGTCTTTGTTCCAGTTTTGGCAGGTGTTGGAATCCACATGCTGCATTTTAAGGTCTCTACATGGCGTCAGTTGTGCTAAGGTTACCTGGACACCTGTTACATCACTACCCACACTTCATGGTATTTTCCTAAAGATGGTAGTCATGTGAAAGAAACATACACCAAAGACTGTCCATGGTGCCTCTTGGGCTCTGTCCTAGTTATTGTCCTATTGCTGGGATAAACACCATGGCCAAAAACAAATAGGGGAGGAAAGTTGGCTCACACATCCAGATCACATTGGACGATTGAAGGAAGTCAGGGAGGAATCATAGAGGAATGCTGCTTACTGGCTTGCTCGCCACGGCTTGCTCAGCCTGCTTTCTTATACAATCCTAGATAACTTGTCCAGGGGTGGCACTACCCAAAGTGGGCTGCACCCTTTCACATTATTCAGTAACCAAGAAAATGCCATAGACTTGTCTATAGGACATTTTGATGGAGGCAATCTTTTTTTTTTTTTTTTTTTTGGCAATCTTTTATTGAGGCTCCCTCTTCCCAGGTGACACTAGTATCTGCCAGTTGACAAAAACTCAACACAGACTCCCCGAAACTTTCTTTATGCTCCTTTTTATGTTTCCTTTGTGGATAAAATAGCCCAAATTCTTTCTCTGTTTTTAACGTTTTCTTCAAAAGGATCACAGTTCCCCCTCAGAATACGTCTGTCAGATGTGATATATGGAAGAGCCAGTCTTGGGACTTAGTAAGTAATTTTAAGACAGCAATGACTGTCATCCAAGGCCCCAAGGTCTTTGTAAATGAAGAGAGGGGCTGTTCTGGGCTTTTTCAGACTTTTGCTGTCCTGTAACTCATTGCGTGAGAGTGTCGGGACTGTGGTTGATGTTGGCTGTTGCATTCTGCTGCCAATCTTGATGCTTTGATTGGAACAAGCTTTGGCACATTTCACTCAGACTCAAGGAAGATTAGAGTGCTGACTCTCAGGTTTGGCATTGGAAGCTTTTGCACCCCCCCCCCACCACCACACACACACATAAACACTTAGATTCCTCTGATTTTCTCATGAAATTCACTCAGGGAAAAGCCTCAGGGATGTGTTTAATCTGGTTCCCATACCCTGATTGCACATTTCTTGAGTGTGAACTTTATAAAAGACAGCATCATGTTGCAATCTCAAAAGACTGAATATACCAAGATGGGATTGTGACAATTGTCCTGGGTGTTCTTATGTTGGCCAGGGCTGGGAGTTACTGCTGTTGAGACTGTCTTCCCACTGTAACTTTTTTTGTACACCTTCACAACTTATGATTTTATTGAGTACTATCTGCATATGGGAATGCCTTCCTGTGTGTAAGACAGCAGGCAACAGGATTCGCTGTAAGTAGAGGCTATTCAAACAAAATAACCCAACAGAGAAAACAATAGAATGCAATTCAGGCTAACACAGTTGTCTGCCTAGACTCTGAGCCTGAAGTCAGCATTTTCCCCCGAGACACATTAACAGATGTGAGAGCATATTATGGTCACAGCGGCCTCAACTGAGAGCTTCTCCTGGAAGCTCTAGTTGGCAGGCAGAGAAATTAAAAGGGAAGGACTTCCCACAGAGAAGCTTAATGGTGTTTAATGCTATCTCTGGGCCCTTCTAAATCCCTCTTCCTTTTAGCCATCAGGTCTCACTCTAGGGATGCTCTGTGGGACTTGGGGGAGCCATTCACTCATTCCTAAGGGAGGTGAGGCTGCAGGGTTGGGAACCCACCAAACAGTCAGTTTCCTGATATTTGGGAGAACATGGTTACAAAGAATATTGATGGTGATGTTGGGAGGGAAAAGAAAGGAGAAACAGAAGACAGCATCAGGAGCATGACCAGGTGCTAGTGTTGACAGCGAAGACGAGCCTACTGCTTCTGCCAGGTGAGTCTGGGGTGGGAGATAGAACAGGTGAGGTCACCTGCTGTCTCTATGTCTGTGCCAGCCTTCCTCCTCTGTTCCCCAGGTCCAGGACAGGCCTCTTTTCTTCTGACCTATGGCTGAACCTCTCCATCCCACCCACAGGAGCACAGGTTGTAAGGTAGGAACCATTGTTTTGCTTCCTTTCTGTTTCTAGGTGGTTCTGTGGTGAGAGAATGATTCTTCATTGGACATTCAGAAACCAAAGTAACAGGTCCCACCAAGAAGAACATATATCACAGAAGCATTCAGTAAACAGAATAAACTGTTCTAGGGAAAGTATAGAAAACTGAAACTAACTGGAATTTTGGCTTTTTAGGGGAAATAAATAGACCAAATGGAAGCTTTATTTCTTAAGTGTCATGGCAAGACTTAAGTGTCATGGCAAGACTCTAATGTGTTTAAAAATTAATAAACATTATATTCTATAATGATAATTCTGGAGGGGGATGTGGGCCTGTGATGGGAAATGCTCTCCATTGGGGTATGTAAGTAAACCTCTTAATTCTGTTACAGCTTTACCACAATGATCACCAACCAAATGGTCCATAAAAAAATAAAAGGCCAATCGGAAGTTTTTTGGATGTCAGGAGAGTGATGAAGGAGTTCGATTATCAACAATGGAGTGGAACAGTCTATCGGTCAGTAGACAGACTTAATGGGGGCTCCTCAATTCTATGGAAGATGTGGTTAGGTGTTCTGGTTTCTAATTGGTAGGAGCCTCAACTTGAGAGCCTAGTACTAAGCTACTTAAAGAAATTGAAATGGATGCAGGTTCTGTGCACTTACCTATAATAGGCCCTGAATTAGACATCGGACCATGGTGATGAGCAACGCGGGCAGGGCCTTACTCTCTTGACTCTTCTTGAGCACATGCGAGTGAGACCCACAGGAAGGAATGAAACTTGCTACTGCCAGGAATTCCTGAAAAGCATGTTGCTAGTTCCAACATCCATGGAGATGGGATGCTAAGAGGAGCCTAACAAAGACTTGAACTCTTTCACTCTACTCAGAGGTATTTGGATTCTGAACCTTGTCTTCTTGACCCAAGTGTTCTCACCATGGTTAAGAGCTCACAGACCAGTTCCTGAACAATGAAGAGTTTCAGGACCTCTGACCACAGTTGAACCTTGTCACTCATGGGGGACCATATGGGGCTAGTTGGAACCCTCAGTGTCACCTTACCTCTGCTGTGACAACTTACCTGCCTGAAAGGTTTGGCATTACCTGTCCACACTGTGCCCTAGAATATACCAAGGCCATCCTCTGAAAGTATAGCTGCCCCCTTCAACGGGCAGTGCTCACAGAATGGAATGCTGGAGGAAGGAAGATCCAGAACACGATTGATACCTTGTGTTTGTTCACTGCTGGTTGGGGAGACCACATTTGCAGTGAGACAGAGGTCTTTGAGCCACATCACTACCTTGACTCTTTAAGCAATGTATCTTTCTGAGCACCCTAGACTTCATGCTACTGTGTAGCTTTGCACTTGAGGAAAAGCTTGTATTTATTCTGCAGGTAGTTTCGTATAGCAACCAGAAAGTTTGAAGAGGTTAAGAATATTCTTATGCTGGTCTTCCTTCCTTCTTTCCTTTCTTCCTTTCTTCCTTTCTTCCTTTCTTCCTTCCTTCCTTCCTTCCTTCCTTCCTTCCTTCCTTCCTTCCTTCCTTCCTTCCTTCCTTTTTTCCTTCCTTCTCTCCCTCTCTCTTAGATTACAAAGCAATTTAAAGCTAGGCATGGCAGCTATGCTGGTTTGGATGAGATGTTCCTGATTCTTCAGTCATTTTAATACTTGATCCCTAGTTGGTGACTGTTTGGGGAGGCTTAGGAGGAATGGCCTTGATGGAGGAAATGTGTCACTGGGGGCAGGCTTTAAGGTTTCAAAAGACTCTTGCCATTTGAATTCTCTTTCTTTGCTTCATGTTCATGGTTCAGGGTGTGAGCTCTCAGCTCTCAGCTTCCAGATCCAGTTGTCATGGCAGCCTGCTGCCCCACTTCCCTTCCATGATGGTGAATGATTCTTATTCCCCTGGAGCCATAAGGCCCAAACAAACCTTTCCTTATATGCACTGCCTTGGTCATGGTGTTTATCACAGCAATAGCGACTCTAAGGCAGTGGCATGTGGCTGTAATCCCAGCACTGAAGAGTTGTCACAGGAGTATTTCTGAGCATTTAGAGCCAGGCTGGATTACATAGCAAGGAATAGGCAAGTCAGGGTTACATAGCAAAAATTATAAAACTCAAATAAACACACAAAAAGGAAACATAATTTGATAGGTCTAGAATCTAATAAGTAGAGATCTTCTCTCCAGTGGGTTTAAGTGCTAGAAGTGCTGGTTCATTTTCAAAGCCTCAGGGACCAATAGCAAATATCTGGGTTTTCAAAGCTGGAATCGGGTAAGGAGAGAGATTGTAAAACCATAGGCCACTTTCCTCTAAGCCAGAGAGGAATCATTTTGTTTTACTGCTGGGGAATCTCCTGTGAGTCAAGATACAGATTAAATGACACTGAAAAACAAATCTCGGCTATCATTTTTTTAGAAAGGAACTTTCCAAAACTTATATATAAAATAAAATTTATCTATAGCTGTATCTTCTTTATTTGGTGCCAGTGTGTATGCAACAGCTTTTGTCTTTATTTAAAATGTATATTAAACAATGAGGACTACTGAAAACTCAAGAACAATGGCAATGGGTTTTTGATCCTACTGCATGAACTGGCTTTGTGGGAGCCTAGGCAGTTTGGATGTTCACCTTACTAGACCTGGATGGAGGTGGGTGGTCCTTGGACTTCCCACAGGGCAGGGAAACCTGATTGCTCTTCGGGCTGAAGAGGGAGGGGGACTTGATTGGGGGAGGAGGAGGGAAATGGGAGGCGGTGGCGGGGAAGAGACAGAAATCTTTAATAAATAAATAAATTAAAAAAAGAAAAGATAAAAAAGTCATATACAATTATTTTTGTCACTTTCTTTATTATTAAAAGTGATGCTGGTTTGTAAAGAGCAAAGCACTTGGAATCTCTTCCTTTTCCATTACACATGTATCTGTTGGGAAGAAGCAGACTTCTCTATTTCTAGCATATGTGATCAATCGACACATCTGTAAAAAAGCAAAGAGACTTTAAGTAGGAATTATCTTCACAAACATTTTTTTGTTTATTGTTGAAATGTCCTTTGTCACATCAACAAGCTCAAGGAGGAAAGAGACACATGATTATATCAATCAGTAGAGTAAAAATACTTCATAAAAATTCAATATCTGTTCATGCTATAAACTTATCAAACTAGGAACACAGGGGAACTTCCTCAAATTGTCAAAGAAGTCCACAAAAAGCCTAAAAGTGATATCACACTTAATGTTGAGAAACAATAATTTTCCTGTTAAGATAAGAAAAAAGGCAAAGATAATCCTGACCACATCAGGCTGGGTATCCATCCAGCCAGTGCATTGTGGTAAGGAGAGGAAATAAAGGCATATAGACTGAGAAGAAAGAAGACATTTTTTAATTTGTAGAAAACATGATTACATATACAACAAATCTAAGATAACTGATACACACTATATACTATAGCTTATAAACAATTTTATTAGGGTTTCTAGATAAAAGGTTAATCTATAAAACTCAGTCATGTCTCTTCATGTCAGCAATGCATATAGGGAAATTAAAACAGCAACTATATGGTTTATATTAGTTTCCTCAAAAAGTAAATACTTAGGTATAGATCTAACGAAAACATGTGTAAGAATCCCCATGAGAAGTTCATAAAATGTTGAAATAGGAGCGGCGGGGCTGCGTCCCCAACACCCCGGCCACTTGGCTAGCTCATGCCCGAAATAACAACACACAAACTGTATTCATTTAACTGCTTGACCCATTTCTATCTAGCCTCTTCTAGGCTAATTCTCACATATTAATTTAGCCCATTTCTAATCATCTGTGTAAGCACCCCAAGGTGCGCTTACCGGGAAGATTCTAGCCTC